AGGGCTCAGACTGAGGAGAAAGAAAAAGGGCAAGATAAGAAGAGTACCAGCAAGAACAAGTCGGGGAATAAGCCAATATACCACGACTACGACGAAGCCACCAAAGGAGTTCCACAGCCGGTCCGAGAACAGCGAAAGACCGATGGAGCCTGTGTGCGATGTGGCCGAAAGGGTCATCTTTGGAAGTGGTGTCGTTCAGATGCTAATAGCAACGCATCTATCTCCTCTCTCTCCCGAAAGCGTACCCGCGATGACGATGGCGACCACGATATGGAACCACCGGAACCCCAACCTCAGAAAAAGCGAATGAGGCACCGTGCTAGGAAGCCGGCTGCGACGGCTGCTGCGGAGTATACCAGTGGGCAAGCGTTTGTGCGAGAACGCGGATCGGAATCTGAGATGGATTTCGACGAGGATTTTTAGAAGGGGACTCTGATGAGTCAGGTCAGGAGTATCCCCAGATTGCTATGTTATCACTGACGGAAAACAACAAAAAAAATATGAAAAGAAAAAGGCAGGAAGGGAGAGCGTCCCAACCGGAGAAAAAACAGAAAATTTTGGAGGAACCTATTCATGGTCCTCGACCTATCGTTAATCAGTTCCTTTGTTTTGTGGAAAAATGTTTACCTTGTAAGGTGTTGTTGGATACTGGTGCAACTGGTCCTGTTTTGTCTGCCGTTTTTGTTGATAGTTTTGAGGTTCCGAAGGTGAAACGAGACGTCCCGGCGAGAGTATTTGGATTTACGGGAGAAGTTATGAAGGGCACGGGACACGCCTTTACACAACCATTAATTATAATGTCAAGGGGGCATCAAACGCAACTATCATTCGAGATCGCCCCTCTCCCGCCTGGCATCGATGCGATACTACCAAACTGGTGGTTGAAAGAACACAAGCCGGTTATAGGGGCAAATGGGGAAGTTTCCTACGATGGTGAGAACTGCAAGAGTCGATGCTTCACTGACAAGGAACCTCAAATAGAAATGGACGAGGGTGTATTGGACGATCCGGAGGCCCAATTCATCGGTAGCATTTGCCTTTTGGAAGATGAATCGGTCAACCTCCGCGAAACTCTTCCCTCTTGGCTCCATGGGTTCCTTAAAGTCTTCCTACCATCGGAAGCCGATAAATTACCACCGCATCGATCTTACGACCATGCGATAGATCTTGAACCAGGAAAGCAGCCACCATGGGGACCCGTTTACTCCCTATCCGAAGTCGAGCTGAAGGTGCTTCGGGAGTACCTGGACAAAATGTTGCGATTGGGAAAGATTAGGCCGAGCAAATCCCCGGCAGGAGCCCCAATCCTATTTGTGAAGAAGAAGGACGGTAGTCTACGACTTTGCGTTGACTACCGTGGACTTAACCGTGTGTCCATCAAGAACAGGTATCCGTTACCACTTATGGACGAACTACGAGATCGAGTGGCAGGCGCGGTTATCTTCTCAAAGATTGACCTGAAGGAAGGTTACAACCTCATCAGGATCAAAGACGGCGACGAGTGGAAGACAGCGTTCCGTACGCGGTACGGGCATTTTGAGTACCTCGTTATGCCTTTTGGGCTGGCAAATGCGCCGGCGACCTTCCAGAACATGATGAATGATGCGCTGAGGGAATTCTTGGATCAAGGTGTAGTAGTATACCTTGATGATATCCTAATATATAGCAAGTCTCGAGAGGAACACAGGGAGCTGGTCGGCAAAGTACTTAGCAGGCTACAAGAATACAACCTGGTCGCCAACCCGAAGAAATCGTTCTTCGAGCTCACCGAAATCGAGTTCCTCGGATACATCCTTGCCCCAGCAGGCGTCACCATGGCACTGGATAAGGTTATGTCTGTTACGAATTGGCAAGCCCCGCGTAGCGTTAAGGAAGTACAGATCTTCATGGGCTTTGCCAACTTCTACAGAAGGTTTATCCACAATTTCTCCGGGGTCTGTAAACCCATTACCGATTGTCTCAGGGGTGATGCTAAGAACTTTGTCTGGTCTATGACGGCCCAAGCAGCCTTCGAAAAACTCAAAACCCTGTTTACGTCTGCGCCGATCTTGGTACACTTCTCTCCAGATCGCCAGACTATCGTGGAAACGGACGCAAGTGATTTTGCTATTGCCGCAATTTTATCCCAGGTTATTGACGGAAAGACTCACCCTGTTGCCTTTTATTCTCGAAAGCTTAACCCAGCGGAACTCAACTACGACGTCTGGGATAAGGAGATGCTAGGAATTGTGTCAGCCTTCAAGCAATGGCGTCACTACCTCGAAGGACCTAGCCGAACGGTTCTCGTATATACGGATCACAAGAACTTGGAATATTTTTCAACAACCAAGGTTCTTAACCGACGACAGGCAAGGTGGGCTGAGTCTTTGGCGGAATTTGACTTCAAGATTATTTACCGCCCGGGAACCAAAAATGGGAAGGCAGATGCACTATCGCGACGGCCGGAGTACCGTCCTGAAGGGGGAGGCACGCTTGGGAAACAGCCGATAGACAAGTTCTTTAAGCCCGGACAGTTGGCGGAGGAAGAGTTTGTGGTATCAGCGGTGTCGCTTGCCTCCAAGGGGGTGATTGACTGGTCTAAGAATTTCCTGGATCATGTCAGGCAGGCGGCATCGGGAGACCCGACATGGGTAGGATTGAAAGAGAGAGTTGAGCAGGGAGAGAAGCTGGGGGAAATGAAGGATATCGCTGAAAAAGACGGGCTACTCTTCTATAAGAATCGACTCTATATTCCGGCAGACGACCGTATCAAGATCCGAATCGCACAGGCAGAACACGATTCGAAAGTGGCAGGACACTTTGGACAAGACAAGACACTGGAACTCATCACGCGTAACTTCTATTGGCCAAAAATGAACGAGTGGATTGATGACTACGTTCGGTCATGTGACGAGTGCCAGCGCAACAAACCCAGCCGCCATAAGAAGTACGGTGCGCTTCTACCATTGTCCACACCACATTCCGTCTGGCAATCGATATCAATGGACTTCGTCGTGCAGTTACCGGAATCGAAGGGATACAACCAAATTTGGGTAGTAGTCGATAGGTTCTCGAAGATGTCGCACTTCATTCCCCTAGTAGCAGAAACGACCGCGCAGGATTTAGCGAAGATATTCCTCGGTCAAATCTGGCGACTCCATGGGCTGCCTCTTGATATAGTTTCCGACAGGGACGCCAAGTTTACTTCAAGCTTTTGGGCATCCCTTATGGAATTATTGGACGTGAGGATAAGAATGAGTACGGCTTTCCACCCTCAGACCGATGGGCAAACAGAGCGAGTCAACCAAACCCTCGAGCATTACTTACGAGCGTTCTGCAACTACGAGCAAGATGATTGGGCAGAGCTACTCCCGTTGGCGGAGTATGCTTACAACAACTCGGTTACCACCGCCACGGGTCAATCTCCGTTTTATACCAATTACGGTTATAACCCAAGAACCAACTGGCCAACAGAAGCCGAAGTGGTCAACCCAACTAGTGACCTGTACGCTCACTTTATCCGAGGGGTTCATGATTCTGCTCTCGCTCGCTTAACAGACACCAGGGAGAAGATGGGGAAATACTATGATCGAAAAAGGGACGAACCGCCTAACTTCAAGGTGGGAGACATGGTTATGCTCAACGCGACCAATATTAAGACACGTCGCTCCACCAAGAAACTCGATCACAAGAAACTCGGCCCGTTCAAAATCATCCGACTAGCCGGGAAACGAGCCTGCGAACTGGAACTGCCGCCACAAGTCAAAATCCATAATGTGTTCCATATTGAACTCTTGGAACGGTATCGACAGAGCAGTATCCCAGGCCGAGAACAACGTCCCCCAACTCCCGAAGAGGTCGATAAGGAAGGAGAGGTGCTGTACGAAGTGGAAAGTATCGTGGGGAGCCGGAAAAGCAGAAGAGGATTAGTGGAATACCTGGTGAAATGGCGGGGCTATTCGATGAGTGACTGTACGTATCAAGTCATGGATGCTATGGATGAGGAAGTACTTGACCTTGTCCGCGACTTCCATCGAAGGAACCCCAAGGCCGTGAAGGACCAACGCCTGAGACTATAGAGGTACCCTACGGGGCTAAGTCCTTCCCCTCCACAGACACCGCGGGTGATATGTGGAGCAGGTTTACTGGAACCATAGTCTGTCAGAAGATGTCCCGAGACGTGACACCCTGGAAGGGGGGTAAGCTGTTACGGGCATGCCAAGCATTTACGGGAGTGAGAGAAAAGGCTAGTAGATACCCCAATACCCTCTGTACGCTAATATCAACTCTTGACCACACTCGCGGAGTGTGGTGCGACCAAATTACGACCAAAACCCAGAAGTCATAAAAAACACGTTTTCGACCCCAATAATAACCCCCGGAGCGTCAAACCGCCGGAGGGGAGTGTTTTGGTACCGGTGGATATATGAGGGACAGCTGGAATCAATCGGATCGAAGATCAGACCGCTCGGAGCGAATCGGCGCAAGCTGCCAGCCGACCGAGTACCTATCGGCGGTACCTGTGGGCATGAGAGGACTCTGCTATGTGGGAAAGCGATGTGGGAAGAGGCCTGAACGGCCGATGGGGAAGAAACATCGACAGGGAAACGTGCATTAGAGTGGATAAAAAGGTTGAGGGGTTTTAGCGGCGTTAGGAGTTTGGGTTACGGACTTAGGAGTTAAATGTTCTTGGTTGTTTTTCAGGGTCTCGGGTAGGCCCCGAGTGTATTCTGTATTATTAGTAGATTGGGTCCTCGAGACATAAGCGAGGGATATAAATACTGTGTCATTCACTGACTAGCCAAACCATTATCGGCGAAATCAGAGTCTTAACAATATAAATCGTTGATACGCGAGCTACAACTTTATTTGACTATACTTTTGGAAAAGACTTTACTCTATCGTGACTTCGAACTCTACCTGAACTATTACGTCGAAGACGGTCGAATACTATACGCTAACTCTAGTGAATCTTTGTTGATAACGTAACTCGCGGGGCCCGTATCGGATCAAGGAGATTCCTACTCGACGTTGACTGAGGAGACCTTGGAGACTCCTACCTTTGTAGCTGTTAGCCGAACTCTGAGCTCTGCGTAGTGTACTCTTGTGGTCTGGTACGCATCCCTCACAGTAGCGTAGTCCGCGGCTGCCGGTCCTAGCATCTTGGTCTCGATATATTCCATAAACCATTCCTTTGCCAACCCACACGTATACGTCCCAGCGAACAGTACCTTGTTCCTATCCGTTCGGAACTTCTTGGGCTTCTGCTCGAAGTAGATCTCGCACTCCATGAGCCAATGCCGCAGGTTATGCTTCCTGGCATTATCGAACTCAAAGGGTATTTTGGCGAGCGAATCTGCCATATCGTCGTCTTCGGGCGGCGCCGAATTCCGGTTTCCGCCTCGGTTCATTCTCCAATTCTTCCGACCGTGCGACCATTCACTGTTATCGTCGTCATCGTCGTCGGAAGGTTCTGGATCTCCCCCAAAGTTTCCTCTTGGTGGGTTTCGGGGAGGTAGATTTCCACCATTCTGTAACGGAGCCATTTCAACTGTCTGGTGTATGAGTACACACAGGGCCCGATTACATGCTGAGAGTTATTGTTAGAAGCCAGTTGCGCGGTGATATGCAAGTACCGGCAGTGTGGTTAGCTACCAGCTGTTAGAGTAACTACATTCCGGGCGCTAGGAAGGGGATCTATTCATGGGAGCAATGACTGACGAGTTTATGCCTCGCCAGTGACTAGAAGACCGGCCAGAGTGAAGCTCTGATTGTCCGGTGATCCTCTATATCCTCTGAGCATTGTATGACCGCCAAAGAGGCAGGGACTATGCTAGGGAAGTCTACAATAAGCGAAAGCTCTACAGCAATGATTAAGCTTACACCTGAGCGGCAGCTCATTCATGCAGGCCCTCGGTTGTGTGGCAACCAAGGCTGCAGGTGTTACAAAGGCTTTGACTAAGGGTGGTTGCCTTGGGTATCGGAAACACCTGCTAACGCTTAGAGAAAAGCGGGGTAGCGGTGGTATTGTTTCCGGTACTAAGGAAAGGCCCCCCCGGAACTTAGTAAGGAGTTAGGAGCAGAGAATAGAGGCCTTTGGAGTATAAGTACTCAGGCTCATTCTCGCCCTTCAGTCCTGTTCTCCCCAGTCTTCATCAGAAAAGAAAAAACCAAGTTCAATTCGGTAGCAGAGCCCTTAAAGATTATTGAGTTCTAGCGATAGTATCTTGAATAATCTGCGACCTGATTGTCTATCTTGCACGGCCGTCTCTATTCTATCCGATTCTATTTCTCTTAGAAAGGACCCCCGTTACAGATAATCTTTACGGCTCAAGTCACCTTCAGATTATTCTTCTTCTATACAAAAATGTCCGCCCTATCAGCTCCAGAAGTGCCTCTTCAGATTGAATGGCAGCCGGTGCCCCTCCAGCTTGATGCCAACGGGCAGACACAGCTTGTTAAGAAACCCAGGACCGCTCTACAGACCTATATCCCCGGTTGTGAGCCTGCCTGGCAGGATACCGACGAGGTTTCCATCCAACAGTTCTTCACAGAGCTTCAGACCTACCTTCAGCATAGCCTGCAGAATCAGTTGACCCGAGGCGGTCAGGCACTGCTCGTTGTGCAAGAGCGCCAGGCAGCACAGAATGCTCTGATGGCAGAAGCTCTTGAATATATGAGGCATGAAGTCAACTCTGTCCAGGAAGAACTCCGAAAGTACGTGGAAAGGGATGAATTGGCAGCCGATGCCATGGAGATTGAGTGGACAAACCCGGCAACTCCGCCAGATTTTGTTGCCGAGATACAGAAAGCCCTTGATGAAGGAAGGCTAGTGGTAGGGAGACCAGCAACTCCGGTACCAAATCCAGGCTCCAGGTCCTCGTCCAGGGCAGCCACCAGGACAATGCAGCGGAAGACCAGTCCCTTCTCAGCATTTCCGGTCAGATCCACTAGGAGAGTTGTTCCTATTGTCCAGCCAGCGGTGGGAGCATCTCCCTTACCTCCTAGTCGCTTTGCAGGAGTAAATCCATTTCTTGGATTAGCCGACCGATCCTTTGACTATGAGGGAGAACTCTACCCAGGTGCAGGCCGAGGACCTCCCAGCCCGCTAGCCAGGAATCCAGGAAGGTTCACCATGTCCGGGGCCGCTCAACCAGCAGCAACCTCACCACTGGCCAGCAATGTGGCACCGGTAGCACCTGTGGCCCCTCCTGCTGTGGCCGCCGCTCCCCCTCCAGCTCAGGCACAGGGTGGAAGTGGTGGGAACCAGAACCCTCCGGCCCAAGCACAGGGTGGAAGTGGTGGAAACCAGAACCCTCCACCTCCTGTGGCCCGTGCTCCTGCTCCTGGAGACTCAGACAGTTCTGACAGCTCCGATTCGGAACCAGAAGGTGGTGATAGAAGAGGCTGGCGGAGATATCTCAAGAAGAAGTTGGAGAAGCAGCAGAAGAATCTGTTGGCTATGATGTCCCAGCAGTTCCGACCTCCGACCGCCTCTCCCTCTTCCTCAACAACCAGGGCCCGAGAACCAAAGGCACCACCACCCTCCAAGTTCCAGGGCAAAGCGGAGCAAGTGGAGACCTTTATCCGGCAATGTGAGAATGTGTTCTCCATTGAGAGTCTGTCCTTCACCTCTGAGGAGGTTAAGATTCGATATGCAGGCAACTTGATGGAAGGAGAGGCAGCGATCCGATGGTATGAGGCATACCATAATTCGATTGATCAAGCCTCCGCCAACCGCCTTGCTGGAATGCCGGTGTCTTTGGATCTGAGATGGAAGCGTTGGGATTCCTTTGTGGATGCTTTTAGAGCTGCCTTCGGTGAAGCCATCTCCCGAGATGATGCTGTAGCCCAATGGAATGCCCTAACCCACACGGCTCGAGGAGGAATAGACCTCTTCCTGAATACTATTATTCAGCTGATGTGGAAAACTGGCTATGAGGGTCAGTTGGTGGATGATAAGATTCACAATTCCCTCCTCCCGGACCTAGGCATGAGTTGGGCTCTTTTTAATCCCAAGCCAAAGTCCTTGATGGAGCGGATAGCTGCTCTAAGAGAGTTAGGGCACACACATGAAAGGTACCAAGGGATGGCAGCTGAGAAAGCGCACCCTCGGACCAAGAAAGATCCTCCTGCTCAGAAGGAACAGCAGCCTAAGAGGAAAAGAGAAGCTGCAAGCTCCTCCGGACCTCAGAAGACTCCTGGACCTAAAGACAAAGCGGTGGAACTGAAGGGTATCCCGGGGGATATTCTAGAAGAAAGAATGAAAGCAGAAGTATGCTTGAAGGTATGACCTTCCGGTACTCCCTATTGGTAGAGTGCATAGACTGACTTGTGCAATAGTGCGGCAAGTCCAGACACAAATGGACCGATTGTTGGTCCAAGCAACCCACTGTTGTTCGAGTGGCAGCAGTGAGAGTACAAAAGCGGAAAAGAGGGAAGGGTAATTCCAACTCTCAGAAGAAGGCTAAAGTGGCTGCTGTAGTAGCAGAAGATCCACTTGTTGTACTCCCGGAGGTTACAGAAGATTTTGTTTTCCAGCCTGAGCAAGACTCGGACAATGAAATCATCTGGTAGAAAAGTGTCTGTTTGAAGTCTATGTTTACTAGTTTTCGTTTATATGGGTTTTCGGTTTATTGTTTCTCTTGAATAAATTATGATTGTGTTTCTGCCTATTTGATTGCTCTAAGCACTCTGAGGATGGGTTTAAGACCCGAAACAGCTGGTCTGTCAGTGCTCTACCAAAAGTTACATTTGCTACGAAGACACTTCCAAAACCGCTACCAAAACTACACATCATATCTGCTATAACTTCGCTTGGGAATAGAACCAAAGGATCTTTGATCTTAGTAGTGCCCAAAGCTATTAGCCATGTTGAAAAGACAAAGAGAAACGAGTTCGGAACCCGCTGTTAAGCAAAGAAAGCTGGAACCGAGGCTTCCTTCTTTACCAGTACATGGAAAAAGACCTATACTGAAGGCAGGACTGTCATGGACGGTCAAAGGAAAGGATGAAGGCGCCCAAGGGTCTTTCCTGTTTGACACCGGTTGTACAGGAGCCATCCTCAACCAGAGTTTTGTCAGGAAACATGGAATTCCCTTAGTGCGGCGGGATCAACCACTGACAATGTTTGATGCTCAAGGAGATGTCATGATGGGAGGAGGTGAGTATTATACTCACCCGGTCCGTATGACTATGGGAGATCATAAGGAGACACTCCGATGGGAGGTGGCTACTTTGGAAGAAGGAATGACCGGTTATCTGCCAATTAGTTGGGCAAGGAAGCATAACCCGGATATCAATTGGGAACTCAACACCATGAGCTGGAGGAGTGACTACTGCAAGCAGAATTGTCTCCCAGCGGCCACCAAGATTGAACTGATCTCTCCATACCAGATGCTGGAGGAAGAAGAGACAGTCTATCAATTGGTTGGTTCAGTATGGCATGATGAGGACGGAGGTGATATTGCTGAGAAAATACACCACCTATACCGGGAATGGGCTGATGTGTTCAGTCAAGAGAGAATTGAGGAAATGCCGCCGCATTCCCATAATGATTTGAAGATCAAACTCTTGCCTGGGACCGCTCCCCCATTTGGCCCGCTGTACCCATGTTCCGCTCCAGAGTTGAAGGCCCTCCGAGAGTACCTGGACAAAGAATTGTCTTCAGGAAAGATCTCTAGATCAAACAGCCCTGCTGTGGCGCCCATATTGTTCATTCCTAAGAAGGATGGTACATTGCGGATTTGCGTGGATTACAGAGGTTTGAACAAGGTCACTGTCAAGGACAAGTACCCGCTGCCTATCATGAGTGAGCTCAGAGATAGGCTGTTCAAGGCCAAGGTCTTCACAAAGATAGACCTAAAGAACGGCTTCAATTTGATCAGGATAGCTGAAGGTGATGAGTGGAAAACCGCTTTCAGAACTCGCTATGGACTGTATCAATATAATGTAATGCCGTTTGGACTATGCAACGCTCCCTCCGCCTTCCAGGCAATGATCAATGATGTGCTAAAGGAACTACTGGATGAAGGAGTGGTTGTCTATATTGATGACATCCTCATCTACTCGGAAAATGAGAAAGAGCATGAGCTACTGGTCAAGAAGGTCTTACAGAAGCTTAGGGAAGCTAAGCTCTGTGCCTCGATCAGTAAGACATCCTTCCATGTCCGAGAGGTAGAATACCTGGGCTATCATATCTCAGAACAAGGAGTATCTATGTCAGAAGACAAGGTGGAGGCAGTTAAGGAATGGCCGGTCCCTGAGAATATTAAGGCAGTACAGGCATTCCTCGGATTTGCAAACTTCTATCGCCGCTTTATTGAAGGCTTCAGTAAGGTTTGCAAACCATTAACTGACCTCCTGCAAAAAGACAAAAAATGGTATTGGACGGCAGCACATGAGCAGGCCTTTGAAGAACTCAAGGGGCTGTTCACAAGCGCTCCAATCCTTCTTCATTTTGACCCTAGTAGGAGGACGGTGGTCGAGACAGATGCCAGTGATTTTGCCAAGGGAGCGGTGCTCTCTCAGTATGGGAATGATGGGAAGCTACATCCGGTGGCATTCTATTCTAAGAAGTTCTCCCCTGCTGAGATCAACTATGACATTCATGATAAGGAAATGGGAGCTATTGTAGCCTCTTTCCGAGAATGGGAACACATGCTCAAATCTTGTGAGCAAGAGATCACGGTTTTTACAGACCACAAGAACTTGGAGTATTTTAATTCTACCAAGGTTCTCACTAGGCGGCAAGCTAGATGGTCTGAAGACCTCGCAGGCTACAATTTTAAAGTTGTCTACAGACCGGGAGAAAAGAATGGCAAGACTGATGTGCTATCTAGGCGCTGGGATCACCGCCTTGGAGAGGGAGGTGAAACTCTGCAGCCGGAGCCACAGATCTTTTTTAGGCCAGGTCAATTGGTTTTGGATCCTGCAAAGCTAGCGGCTGTCAGGGTGAATCAATTGCAGAACACATTCTTAGAGCGCCTATGTACGGCTGCTAAAGAGGATAGCTTCTGGCAGGAATTGCACCGCTCCCTGGTTGAAAGGAAACCAAATTTGGACCAGAACTTGTCGGTCAAGAACGGTCTCATCTTCTATAAGAATAGATGGTATATACCCAAAGACAAGAAGCTTCAGATGGAAATACTGTCCGATACCCATGACTCTAAGGTGGCGGGTCACTTTGGCCAATTTAAGACACTTGAGCGGGTGAAAAACAACTTCTTTTGGCCCAACATGGATAAGGATGTTGAGGAATATGTCCGGAGCTGTGATAGCTGCCAGAGGAATAAGACCTCCAGACATAAGAAGTTTGGTATGCTCCAATCATTGGAGATACCCTATCGGCCATGGACTTCCATCTCTATGGACTTCATTGTGGGATTGCCGGAATCTAGTGGGTTTACAAAGATCTGGGTAATAGTGGACCGCTTTTCGAAGATGGCACACTACATCCCTCTTCCTACCCTCAATAAAACGGAAGATTTGGCTAAGTTGTTCTTGAAGGAGGTTTGGAGACTCCATGGTTTACCTGACGACATAGTCTCGGACAGAGATAGCAGGTTCATCTCTCACTTTTGGCAATCTCTCATGAGTCTCCTCAATGTGAAGCTGAAGATGTCCACATCTTTCCACCCACAAACGGACGGTCAAACAGAAAGAGTTAACCAGACCCTGGAACATTACTTGCGGAGTTATTGTTCATATCAACAGGATGACTGGGCAGAACTCTTGCCTTTGGCAGAGTATGCATATAACTCGGCGGTCTCTGAGTCTACCAAAGTATCGGCTTTTTATGCCAACTATGGATATGAACCCAGGACCAACTGGCCGGCCCCAAAGGAAGGAGTAGAATGGAACAATCCAGCGAGTGAGGTCATGATATCTCAATGGGAATCTATCTGGCAGGCTATGAACGCCAGCTTAGGTAAAGCTAGATTAAGGATGGCCCGGTGGTATGATGTTCATGCCCTGGCACCGCCTGAAATCAAGCCCGGAGATGAAGTTATGTTGGACCGGCGCAATGTGCAAACAAAGCGGCCTTTGGGAAAACTGGATCAGAAGAAGATGGGACCCTTTAAGGTCTTGGAAGCTATTGGTACCCGTGCCTACAAGCTCTCTCTTCCCCCCCAAATGGGAATCCACCCGGTCTTTCATGTCTCTCTTCTGGAACCTTACCGAGCACCGGTAGATCCTGAGAGAAGAGTTCCTGTACCGGAGCCTGAAGAGATTGAAGGAGAACAGAACTGGGTTGTCCGGGAGGTAGCTGATAGCCGGGTCAATAAGAAAAGAAGACGAGTGGAATACCTAGTGCTGTGGGAAGGTTATGAGAACGAGGATGCTACATGGGAACCTTGGGAGCATCTCAAGAAGAGTGCCGAAGAAGCCCTTCGAGATTTCCATATGAGGTATCCTAAGAAACCCAAGGACAAGCGGATTGTTGGGGTGTAGATTTTTCCTTTGGGTTTTCATTTCCTTGCATATCACGGAGTTCCTTGTCATATAGATTGAATAAATAATAGAATGGATATAGATCTTGGAGACCCAGATCCTGGAAGAGGGGAGTGGTGTAACGGAGCCATTTCAACTGTCTGGTGTATGAGTACACACAGGGCCCGATTACATGCTGAGAGTTATTGTTAGAAGCCAGTTGCGCGGTGATATGCAAGTACCGGCAGTGTGGTTAGCTACCAGCTGTTAGAGTAACTACATTCCGGGCGCTAGGAAGGGGATCTATTCATGGGAGCAATGACTGACGAGTTTATGCCTCGCCAGTGACTAGAAGACCGGCCAGAGTGAAGCTCTGATTGTCCGGTGATCCTCTATATCCTCTGAGCATTGTATGACCGCCAAAGAGGCAGGGACTATGCTAGGGAAGTCTACAATAAGCGAAAGCTCTACAGCAATGATTAAGCTTACACCTGAGCGGCAGCTCATTCATGCAGGCCCTCGGTTGTGTGGCAACCAAGGCTGCAGGTGTTACAAAGGCTTTGACTAAGGGTGGTTGCCTTGGGTATCGGAAACACCTGCTAACGCTTAGAGAAAAGCGGGGTAGCGGTGGTATTGTTTCCGGTACTAAGGAAAGGCCCCCCCGGAACTTAGTAAGGAGTTAGGAGCAGAGAATAGAGGCCTTTGGAGTATAAGTACTCAGGCTCATTCTCGCCCTTCAGTCCTGTTCTCCCCAGTCTTCATCAGAAAAGAAAAAACCAAGTTCAATTCGGTAGCAGAGCCCTTAAAGATTATTGAGTTCTAGCGATAGTATCTTGAATAATCTGCGACCTGATTGTCTATCTTGCACGGCCGTCTCTATTCTATCCGATTCTATTTCTCTTAGAAAGGACCCCCGTTACACATTCCCTCCTACCGGAGCAGTTCCTACCGGTCGCCTGCCACTGTTTCCCTGCACTGGGCCGGCGTCCTCCGGTTGCTTGCCTCCGTTTCCACCAACTGGGCCTGCTTCTTCTGGTTGCTTGCCATTCCCTGAGGTTTGGGGGCCAGCATTTTGGGGGTTCTTGCCATTGCCAACAGGAACCGTTCGGGGTGCATTAGGGTCTAAGGGAGCACTAGCCACGGAAGGTGCTACTGACAGATGTTGTCGCAGTAGTTCCTCCATCTCGGCTATCCGTTGGTTTCTTATCTCATCAGACTGCTTGAACTGCGCAAACATAGCCCGTTGTTCCCCTTTCTCCTGCTCCCGCTCTTCTCGTACCATCCTCAGCTGTCGCTCCGCTTCCAACAGTTGGTTCTGGGTAATCCGATGGTTGCGGTCCAGAACCTCGCGGTCGGCGGCTCGTGCGGTTTCTTGCATTTGTTGGACATGGGTGACGAGCTCAAAGAGCGACTCGAGATGTTGTTTTTGGGCAATGGCTTCTTGCCGTACTTTCTTATCCAGGATTTGTCCACTCCCTTGGACTTGCTCCTGGAGGTTTTGTAGCTGCTGCCAAACGGCCTGTCCAGCTGTACCAAGATACCTCATTTGTGCCTCATGGGTATCCAAAAACTCCTGCATATTTCTCACGAACTGGGCTTGAGCAGAGCGTTTACTCGATTGCCTAGTTTGTGTGGAGGGTCCTCCCGTAAGTAGGGGGTCGGGGCTAGCAGCCCTCGATATTACCATAGAATCTTCTCCGGCCTCCTCAGTTACGGCCGAGTTATCTATGAAATAATTATCCCTTCGGGTAGTCATTGTGATAGGGATAATGATGATAGTTTTTCTTTTTAAGGTGACTTCGTTACTCCAAGTGAACTTGTGAGTAACAATATACTGTGAGGGATGCGTACCAGACCACAAGAGTACACTACGCAGAGCTCAGAGTTCGGCTAACAGCTACAAAGGTAGGAGTCTCCAAGGTCTCCTCAGTCAACGTCGAGTATGAATCTCCTTGATCCGATACGGGCCCCGCGAGCTACGTTATCAACAAAGATTCACTAGAGTTAGCGTATAGTATTCGACCGTCTTCGACTTAATAGTTCAGGTAGAGTTCGAAGTCACGATAGAGTAAAGTCTTTCCAAAAGTATAGTCAAATAAAGTTGTAACTCGCGTATCAACGATTTATATTGTTAAGACTCTGATTTCGCCGATGATGGTTTGGCTAGTCAGTGAATGACACAGTATTTATATCCCTCGCTTATGTCTCGAGGACCCAGTCTACTAATAATACAGAATACACTCGGGGTCTGCCCGAGACCCTGAAAAACAACCAAGAACATTTAACTCCTAAGTCCGTAACCCAAACTCCTAAACCCGCTGAAACCCCTCAACCTATTTACCCACTCTAATGCACGTTTCCCTGTCGATGTTTCCTCTCCATCGGCCGTCTGGTGGATAATCGTCAGCGTCGGCTACTCGTAGGTCTCGGACGACAAAGCTACCTACTCAGGCCTCTTCCCACATCGCTTTCCCACATAGCAGAGTCCTCTCATGCCCATAGGTACCGCCGATAGGTACTCGGTCGGCTGGTGGCTTGCGCCGATTCGCTCCTAGTGATCCGATCTTCGATCCGATTGCTTCCAGCTGTCCCTCATATATCCACCGGTACCAAAGCACTCCCCTCCGGCGGTTTGACGCTCAGGGGGTTATTATTGGGGTCGAAAACGTGTTTTTTATGACTCCGTGTTTTGGTCGTATATTGGTCGCACCACACCCCACGGGTGCGGTCCAGAGTTGACATTAGCGTGCAGAGGGTATTGGGGTATCTACTGGCCTTTTCTCTCACTCCCGTAAATGCTTGGCATGCCCGTAACAGTGCCATGGTGACGCCTGCTGGGGCAAGGATGTATCCGAGGAACTCGATTTCGGTGAGTTCGAAGAACGATTTCTTCGGGTTGGCGACTAGGTTGTATTCTTGTAACCTACTAAGTACTTTGCCGACCAGCTCTCTGTGCTCCTCTCGAGACTTGCTATATATCAGGATATCATCAAGGTATACTACTACACCTTGATCCAAGAATTCCCTCAGCGCATCATTCATCATGTTCTGGAAGGTCGCCGGCGCATTTGCCAGCCCAAAAGGCATGACGAGGTACTCAAAATGCCCATACCGCGTACGGAAGGCTGTCTTCCACTCGTCGCCGTCTTTGATCCTGATGAGGTTATAACCTTCCTTCAGGTCAATCTTCGAGAAGATAACCGCGCCTGCCACTCGGTCTCGCAGCTCGTCCATAAGCGGTAGAGGATACCTAGTCTTGATGGACACACGGTTAAGTCCACGGTAGTCAACGCAAAGTCGGAGACTACCGTCCTTCTTCTTCACAAATAGGATTGGGGCTCCTGCCGGGGATTTGCTCGGCCTAATCTTTCCCAATCGCAACATTTTGTCCAGGTACTCCCGAAGCACCTTCAGCTCGACTTCGGATAGGGAGTAAACGGGTCCCCATGGTGGCTGCTTTCCTGGTTCAAGATCTATCGCATGGTCGTAAGATCGATGCGGTGGTAATTTATCGGCTTCCGATGGTAGGAAGACTTTAAGGAACCCATGGAGCCAAGAGGGAAGAGTTTCGCGGAGGTTGACCGATTCATCTTCCAAAAGGCAAATGCTACCGATGAATTGGGCCTCCGGATCGTCCAATACACCCTCGTCCATTTCTATTTGAGGTTCCTTGTCAGTGAAGCATCGACTCTTGCAGTTCTCACCATCGTAGGAAACTTCCCCATTTGCCCCTATAACCGGTTTGTGTTCTTTCAACCACCAGTTCGGTAGTATCGCATCGATGCCAAGTGGGAGAGGGGCGATTTCGAATGACAACTGTGTTTGATGCCCCCTTGACATTATAATTAATGGTTGTGTAAAGGCGTGTCCCGTGCCCTTCATAACTTCTCCCGTAAATCCAAATACCCGGGCCGGACGTCTCGTTTCACCTTCGGGACCTCAAAACTATCAACAAAAACAGCAGACAAAACAGGACCAGTTGCACCAGTATCCAACAACACCTTACAAGGTAAACATTTTTCCGCAAAACAAAGGAACTGATTAACGATAGGTCGAGGACCATGAATTGGTTCCTCCAAAATTTTCTGTTTTTTCTCCGGTTGGGACGCTCTCCCTTCCTGCCTTTTTCTTTTCATATTTTTTTTGTTGTTTTCCGTCAGTGATAACATAGCAATCTGGGGATACTCCTGACCTGACTCATCAGAGTCCCCTTCTAAAAATCCTTATCGAAATCCATTTCTGATTCCGATCCGCATTCTCGTACAAACGCTTGCCCACTGGTGTACTCCGCAGCCGCCGTAGCAGCCGGCTTCCTAGCACGGTGCCTCATTCGCTTTCTCTGAGGTTGGGGTTCCGGTGGTTCCATATCGTGGTCGCCATCGTCATCGCGGGTACGCTTTCGGGAGAAGGAGGAGATAGATGCGCTACTATTAGCATCCGAACGACACCATTTCCAAAGATGACCCTTTCGGCCACATCGCACGCAGACACCATCGGTCTTTCGCTGGTCTCGGACCGGCTGTGGAACTCCTTTGGTGGCTTCGTCGTAGTCGTGGTATATTGGTTTATTTCCAGACTTATTCTTGCTGGTGCTCTTCTTATCTTGTCCTTTTTCCTTCTCCTCAGTCTGAGCCCTACCCTTGATCTTAAATCCTTTCTCCTTCTGCCGCGAGTTCCCACCATGGTTTAACTCCTTTCCTCTCGACTCCGCTTTCCCCAACATTTTCATCTGCTCCTGATAAGCCTCGTGAGCCTTACCGGCTCGTTCCAACTGTTGGATGTACTCGGAGTCGTCATCGGTTGGATCGAAGCGCGAGTGGCGTTCTCGGATTTCATTTGGTAGCCCTTGGAGCAAGGCGGCGCGATAGGATGCCCCTTTCATCTGAGCATGCTGGTTCATAATCTCCATCCTCGTTAGGTAGTCGCCGATGTTAGCAGAGTACTTAAACTGCTGCATCTTCATCGCGTTTTCCATAGCCTCCTGAGTGCTTAGGAAACGTTTCCTGACTTCCTGACGAAACCGAGCCCAAGTGGCGTAGTCTGCACCGGCCGGGCCCAACATTTTGGTCTCGATATACTCCATGAACCATTCCTTTGCCAACCCGCACGTATATGTTCCAGCGAACAGTACCTTGTTCCTGTCCGTGCGGAACTTCTTGGGCTTCTGCTCAAAGTAGATCTCACACTCCATGAGCCAATGCCGCAGGTTATGCTTTCTGGCATTATCGAACTCAAAGGGTATTTTAGCGAGCGAATCTACCATATCCTCGTCTTCAGGCGGCGCCGAATTCCGGTTCCCGCCTCGGTTCATTCTCCAGTTCTTCCTACCATGCGACCATTCACTATTATCGTCGTCATCGTCATCGGAAGGTTCTGGGTCTCCCCCAAAGTTTCCTCTTGGTGGGTTTCGGGGAGGTTGATTTCCACCATTCCCTCCTACTGGAGCAGTTCCTACCGGTCTCCTGCCACTATTTCCCTGCACTGGGCCGGCATCCTCCGGTTGTTTGCCTCCATTTCCTCCGACTGGGCCAGCTTCTTCTGGTTGCTTGCCGTTCCCTGATGTTTGGGGGCCAGCATTTTGGGGGTTCTTGCCATTGCCAACAGGAACCGTTCGGGGTGCATTAGGGTCTAAAGGAGCGCTAGCCACGGAAGGTGCTACTGACAGATGTTGTCGCAGTAGTTCCTCCATCTCGGCTATCCGTTGGTTTCTCTCTTCGTCGGACCGCTTAAATTGCGCAAATAGAGCTCGTTGCTCCCCTTTCTCCTGCTCTCGCTCTTCTCTCACCATCCTCAGTTGTCGCTCCGCCTCCTGTAATTGGGTCTGGGTTTGATGATGACTTCGCTCCAGAACCTCATGGTCGGCGGCTCGTGCGGCTTCTTGTACTTGTCGGACATTGGCAACGAGCTCAAAGAGCGATTCGAGATGTTGTTTTTGGGCAATGGCTTCTTGCCGTACCTTCTTATCCAGTATTTGCCCACTCCCTTGGACTTGTTCCTGGAGGTTTTGTAGCTGCTGCCAAACGGCCTGTCCAGCTGCACCAAGATACCTCATCTGTGCCTCATGGGTATCCAAAAAGTCCTGCATATTCCTCACGAACTGGGCTTGAGCAGAGCGTTTACTCGTTGACCTAGTTTGTGTAGAGGGTCCTCCCGTAAGTAGGGGATCTGGGCTAGCAGCCCTCGATATTACCATAGAATCTTCCCCTCCGGCCTCCTCAGTTACGGCCGAGGTATCTATGAAATAATTATCCCTTCGAGTAGTCATTGTAATAGGGGATAATGATGATAGTTCTTCTTTTTGAGGTGACTTCGTTACTCCAAGTGAACTTGTGAGTAACAATATACTGTGAGGGATGCGTACCAGATCACAAGAGTACACTACGCAGAGCTCAGAGTTCGGCTAACAGCTACAAAGGTAGAAGTCTCCAAGATCTCTTCAGTCAACGTCGAGTATAATTCTCCTTGATCCGATACGGGCCCCGCGAGCTACGTTATCAACAGAGATTCACTAGAGTTAGCATATAGTATTCGACCGTCTTCGACGTAATAGTTCAGGTAGAGTTCGAAGTCACCATAGAGTAAAGTCTTTCCAAAAGTATAGTCAAATAAAGTTGTAACTCGCGTATCAACGATTTATATTGTTAAGACTCTGATTTCGCCGATGATGGTTTGGCTAGTCAGTGAATGACACGGTATTTATATCCCTCGCTTATGTCTCGAGGACCCAGTCTACTAATAATACAGAATGCACTCGGGGCCTACCCGAGACCCTGAAAAACAACCAAGAACATTTAACTCCTAAGTCCGTAACCCAAACTCCTAAACCCGCTGAAACCCCTCAACCTATTTACCCACTCTAATGCACGTTTCCCTGTCGATGTTTCCTCTCCATCGGCCGTCTGGTGGATAATCGTCAGCATCGGCTACTCGTAGGTCTCGGGCGACAAGGCTACCTACTCAGGCCTCTTCCCACATCGCTTTCCCACATAGCAGAGTCCTCTCATGCCCGTAGGTACCGCCGATAGGTACTCGGTCGGCTGGTAGCTTGCGCCGATTCGCTCCGAGTGATCCGATCTTCGATCCGATTGCTTCCAGCTGTCCCTCATATATCCACCGGTACCAAAGCACTCCCCTCCGGCGGTTCGACGCTCCGGGGGTTATTATTGGGGTCGAAAACTTGTTTTTTATGACTCCGTGTTTTGGTCGTATATTGGTCGCACCACACCCCGCGGGTGCGGTCCAGAGTTGACGTTAGCGTGCAGAGGGTATTGGGGTATCTAGTAGCCTTTTCATAAATGCTTGGCATGCCCGTAACACCGCCGCAAGACGACGATTATCCAACCGTTGCAAGAGTGTCGCACAGGCATCTACCGTCGCAGGAGTGTCATGGTGTATCATTGATTCATCGAGTTCCGCATTAATACCTTCCATCAAAGCCTCGATCCGAGAGGCTTCATCTGTAACGGAGCCATTTCAACTGTCTGGTGTATGAGTACACACAGGGCCCAGTTACATGCTGAGAGTTATTGTTAGAAGCCAGTTGCACCGTGATATGCAAGTACCGGCAGTGTGGTTAGCTACCAGCTGTTAGAGTAACTACATTCCGGGCGCTAGGAAGGGGGTCTATTCACGGGAGCAATGACTGACGAGTCTATGCCTCGCCAGTGACTAGAAGACCGGCCAGAGCGAAGCTCTGATTGCCCGGTGATCCTCTGTATCCTCTAAAGCATTATGAGTCCGCCGAAGGGCAGGGACTATGCTAGGGAAGTCTACAAATAAGCGAAAGCTCTACAGCAATGATTAAGCTTACACCTGAGCGGCAGCTCATTCATGCAGGCCCTCGGTTGTGTGGCAACCAAGGCTGCAGGTGTAACAAAGGCTTTGACTAAGGGTGGTTGCCTTGGGTATCGGAAACACCTGCTGACGCTTAGAGAGAAGCGGGGTAGCGGTGGTATTGTTTCCGGGACCGAGGAAAGGCTTCACCGGAACTTAGTAAGGAGTTAGGAGCAGAGAATAGAAGACTTTGGAGTATAAGTACTCAGGTTCATTCCCGCCCTTCAGTCCTATTCTCTCCAGTCTTCATCAGAAAGAAAAACCAAGTTCTTATCGGTAGCAGAGCCCTTAAAGATTATTGAGTTCTAGCGATAGTATCTTTGAATAATCTGCAACCTGATTGTCTATCTTGCACGGCCGTCTCTATTCTATCCGATTTCATTTCTCTTAGAAACGACCCCCATTACAGATAATCTTTAAGGCTCAAGTCACCTTCAGATTATTCTCCCTCTATACAAAAATGTCCACCCTCCCAGCTCCGGATGTGCCCCTTCAGATTGAATGGCAGCCGGTGCCCCTCCAGCTTGATGACACCGGGCAGACACAGCTTGTTAAGAAACCCAGGACCGCTCTACAGACCTACATTCCCGGTTGTGAGCCTGCCTGGCAGGATACCGATGAGGTTTCCCTTCAGCAGTTCTTCACAGAGCTCCAGACCTACCTCCAACACAGCCTGCAGAATCAGTTGACCTGGGGCAGTCAGGCACTCCTCCTTATACAAGAGCGCCAGGCAGCACAGAATGCTCTTATGGCAGAAGCTCTCGAGTATATGAAGATGGAGGTCAACTCTGTTCAGGAAGAACTCCGGAGGTATGCGGAAAGAGATGAACAGGATGCTGATGCTATGGAGATTGAGTGGACGAATCCGGCCACTCCACCGGACTTTGTTGCTGAAATAGAGCGAGCCCTTGATGAGGGAAGGCTGGTGGTTGCTGGACCAGGAACTCCGGCACCAAATCCAGGCTCCAGGTCCTCTTCCAGGGCAGCCACAAGAACAATGCAGCGAAAGACCAGCCCTTTTGCGGCATTCCCAGTACGATCCACTAGGAGAGTTGTCCCTATTGTGGAGCCAGCGGTAGGAGCATCTCCCTTACCTCCCAGCCGTATCAGTGGAGTACTCCCATTCCTTGGAAGAACCGACCGACCCTTTGACTATGAAGGAGAGCTCTTCCCAGGTGTAGGCCGAGGACCTCCTAGCCCGCTGGCCAGGAACCCGGGAAGGTTTACCATGTCTGGGGCCGCTCAAACAGCAGCAACCTCACCATTGGCCAGCAACCCGGCACCGGTAGCACCTGTGGCCCCT